TGATGCTGTTTGGCCTGCTGTGTTCGTCCAGCTCTACACCTTGTTATCTCAGATTCTCCAGCATCTGCAGTTCCTACTATCTCTGAAACATTCTCTTTAACCATCCTGCTTGCTTACATTTCAGCACAGTGGCTCAGTGGTTAGCACTGCTGGTTCAGTTCTAGCCTTGGGTGGAGTTTACATGTTCTCCCCGTGTCTGTGGGTTTCTTGTGGGTGCTCCAGTTTCCTCCCACAGTCCAAAGATGTGCAGGCTAGGGTGATTGACCATGTTAAGTTTACCACCATGTCAAATGATGTGCAGGCTAGGTGGATTAGCCACGGAAAATGCAGGATTACAGGGATATGGTAAGAGGGTGGGTTTGGGTGGGATGCTCTTCAGAGGGTCGATGTGGACTTGATTGGCTGAATGGCCTGGTTCCACACTGTAGGGATTCTATGATTTGCAGCTTCATCTGTGCAATCATTGTTTTCAGCCTTAGTCACTTTGGTCTTGGTTACTTATTCCCAAATGGTTTGTATACAAATCTTTAGATCAAGTACAAGTGCTCAGGGTTTTGCAGCTACAATAAATTGAGAGCGCAGCTGCGTCCTGGACACATGTTATGAACCTTTAATCGTAATTTTTAATGGACTTTTCAAAAGCCATTGCAAGCTACTATCTTGTAGACTTAAACAGTGGTTCTGACTTCTCAAAAGTTAACTACGTTAAGCTCCTGTTATTTCACTCTTTCAGGATGCCCAAGAATTTCTGCGTTGCTTGATGGATCAACTTCATGAAGAATTGAAGGAACAAGTTGTGGAGCAGATTGAAGACCCTCTATCTGCAGCCATGGAAGAGCAAATGGAAGAAGAAAACCTGTCTGATAATGAATTTCAGTCTTGTGATTCATGTTCTGGCAGTGACAAGGCTGATCCTGAGACAAACTCCAAGATCTCAGCAGAAGACTGCATGGAGGCCGAGATGCTTGTGCATGAAGAAATAAAGAATTGTGCATCAGCTAAAGGATGGCAACGGGAGCAAAATCTGCTGCATAAGCTTTATAGGCCCAACTCCAGAGATGATTTGGATAAAGACATGGATACTTCAACAGGTGCTGATCAAATAGTAGAGAGTGATGGGACAGTCAAAGTGCAGATACAAAGCAGATTGCCAGGTAAACAGGCATTCTTATTTACAGTATGTGGATTTAATCCTGTTCTCCTGTTTACACAAAACAATCTAAATGTATTTCTTTTAAAATTGGATAATTCTAGCATGAATAACTCGATTAAAAGTGAGACTGGTGACTAGGGTTTCTAATTTTTAATTTGATGTGTTCAATTTGCCAAATTTGAGCCTTTTATTTATAACATTATTTTTTATTTATTAAAATATATTGTGCTCAATGTGCTAACATTGAGATGTCACAGATAGCAAGAATAACAATAGCAGGCTTGAGAAAAACATAGCAATAGTTTGAATAGCCAGGTGGTGGATGCAGTTTAAGACAATTGATTGTGCCAATACTCTTTGAAGTGAAAACCAGGCAAAGGGCATGCTTTCCAAAGATAAACAGTGAAAAACATGTAAGAATGTGCTTGGGGATTAAATATCTATTGTTCCAGAAGAGTGTGTATGGACAAATAAAGCCATAACAAAAGCTAATTACACTTCCTCTTACAAATAGAACTATAAAAATGTACTTAAAAATAAGTAATGTTAAATGCATATAAAACCTTGGTTTAGGCCACCAAGTATTGCCTGCCCTTTGTCAAAATGACATTTATAACCACAGCGTGTTTACAGACAGTGCAGAACTACCAAGATGATGTATGAAATGGGAAACCAATCATGAGAAGCTTAAAATACTGGGACTAATAGGAAACTGAGACTGTTTTTCTACTGGAGAAGATTGAAATGCAAGTTAGTAAAAGTTTTCAAAAGTTTTGGTAAGGAGGAAAGGTTTGTTCCTCTTGGTGAATTGGTGATGAGGAGGCTTATCTGTTTAAATTGTGCTTCAAAGTGTTCTTGTGAAGTTCTTTTACACTCAAAGAACTAAATGAACAAGGTCGTGTGATTGCAGTGTTTGTGGCTTTGTTTTGAGAGGAATGCTGATGTTGTGAGGCTGCAGATCAAGTTTAAGACTGTTGATTAATGCTGGTTGCCTTACTTTGCGGCCGTATCCCCATAACCCTTGATTCTGGTTAAACATCTGTCTATCTCCGCCTTCAATACACTTAACAAACTTGCCTTGACAGCCCTCTATGGTAAAGGATTCCACAGATTCACTGTCCTCAAAGAGGGTGAAAGAAAATCCTCCTCCTCTCCATTTTAAATGGGTGCCCCTTTACTCTGGAATTATGCTTTCTGGTCCTTGCCTCTTCCCCCAAGTGGAAGCAACCCTTCCATATCTATCCTATCGAGCTCCCTAAGAAACTTGAATTTCAATAAGGCCTCCTGAAATTCTTCCAAACTCCAATCATTACAAATCCACCTTATTCTTCCCAGACAAAAATCCCTCCCTACCAATCACTGAGTAAACCACCTCTGGACTGCCTCCAGTGCAGGTATATCTTTCCCTAGGTAAGGGGTCCAAGACTGTTCACTTGGTCTGACCAGTGCCTTGTATGGTTTTAGTACGACTTCCCTATTTTTAAACACTATCCTCTTTATAGGCCGACAGTTCATTTGCTTTTGGCAAGTTTAGGCATTGGTGAACCGGATAGGTTTTTACACCAATCGACAAGGGTTACATGGTTGGCACTAGACCGGCATTTAATTCTGGATTTTTTTTAAAAATTGAGTTCAAATCCATAAGCCATGTACTTGGAACATTTGCCTGGGGTTCTAGATTACAGGACAAGTCCAATGATATTGCCACTATGCCTGCATAGAGTTACCCAGATAATACCAGGGTTAGCCACTGAATTGTTACAGCACAGAATGCCATCATTCAACCTATCCTGTCTGCACCATCTCATTGAATGAGAAACTCACTGAGTGCCATTCTCAGCCTTTTCCCTGTAGCCCTGCACATTTTTCCTTCTCGGATAACAGTTCCCCCGTTTGGATGGTTCATTTGAACCTGCCTGAACCACACCATCAGGCAGTGCATTACCAACTTTAACCACTGACTTTGTGAAGAAGTTTGAGATTATATTACTTTTGTTTCTTTAGGGGCCAGTGAGCATGGTTGACTGGATGGCTGGTTTGGATGCAAAGTGCCACCAGCAGCGCAAGTTCAATTCCTGCACCGGCTCAGGTTCCATGAAAGCCTTCTCAACCTTGTCCCTCGCTTGAGGTGTGCTGACCCTCGGGTTAAACCGTCACCAGTCGTCTGTCTCTAATGAGAGAGCAGCACTATGGCAACTTTGGCTCACTCTCCTTTTACCTTTGCTTCTTCAACCAATTACTTTAAATCTGCACTCTCTTGTTTTCGGTCCTTCCAAGAATGGAAAATGATGCTCTCCCTCTACTCTGTTCAAGCCCTTTTGTGATTGTTGAGTAATTCTCTCCAACAGCTCCTCAACCTTAGTGAAAACCGAAAGAACTACAGATGCTGTAAATCAGGAACAAAAACAAAGTTGCTGGAAAAGCTCAGCAGGTCTGGCAGCATCTGTGAAGGAGAAAACCGAGTTAACGTTTCGGGTCCAGTGACCCTTCCTCAGAACTTCTGTTTGACTTTTCAACCTTGTTTTCTCCAAGGAAAAGAGCTCATAACTGAAGTCCCTTATCCCTGGAACTGTTTTGTGAATCTTTTCTATGCTTTTCCCAATGTCTTCATAGCTTTCTGAAAGTGTGGCACCTAGTGTTTGTGATGTAGTACTCCAATTAAGGCTGACTTCTCGTCTCATGCAAGTTCATTGTGACTTTCTTGCTCTTGCACTTTGTCCCCTAATGGTAAAGCCTACGATACTATATGCTTTATTCATCACTCGACCTGTCCTGACACCTTCAATGACTTGTGCATATATACACACACAAGTTTCTTTCCTCCTGTGCCTCCTTAAGAATTGTATCCTTGATTTATTGTTTTCCCATATTAGAATCATAGACTCCCTACAGTGTGGAAACAGGCCCTTCGGCCCAACAAGTCCACACCGACCCATAACCTATAACCCACCTAAGCTCCACATCCCTGAACAGTATGGGCAATTTAGCATGGCCAATCCACCTAGCCTCCACATCTTTGGACTACGGGAGGAAACCGGAGCACCTGGAGGAAACCCACACAGACATGGAGAGAATGTGCAAACTCCACACAGTCGACCGAGGGTCGGATTGAGCCCGGGTCCCTGGCGCTGTGAGGCAGCAGTGCTAACCACTGAGCCACCGTGCCGCCCTATTCTACCAAAGTGAATCATCTGTCAATTCTCTGCCATCATCTGCCACCTAACTGCTCACTTCACCAACTTGCCAATGTCCTTTTGAAATTATCTGCTCTATCTGTGTCGCATTTCACGATGCTTTTAATTTTTTGTCTTTAAATTTTAAAATTGTGCCCTTTGCATCAATACATTAATACATTAATTCATCAATACATTATTCATGTAATTCAGAAAAAGCAAGGGTCCCCACACTAACACCTGGGAACTCTATTTTGACCTTCCTCCAACCTGAAAAATACCCATTAAGTACTAGTGTTTCCTGTCACTCACTCAATTCCGTATCCATACTGTTATAGTCCCTTTGTTCCATGACCGAGAACTAAGTTATAGCATTGTACCATTCCTTTGGAAGTCCATGTGCACCACATCAACAACCTTTCCCCAATCCACCATTACCCCTTCAAAAAATTCAGGCAGATTCTTTAAACACAATTTTCTTTTAATAAATCAATGCTGGCATCTTTATTTAAACTATATTTACCCAAATGACTATTTATTTTGTCAAGGATTATTGTTTCTTGAGGTTTTCCCATCACCTAAGTTAAACAGACTCGCTTCCTTGTGTATCCTTGGGTGAATCTAATCTGGCCCAAGTTACTTATCATTTTAAAGTACAAACAGTCTATGCATCTGCTTATCAATTTTAAACCCTTCTAGTGTTTGAATTACTGCCTTTTTTTATCATTACTTGGGTCACATCTTCTTTGATAAATACAGATGCCAAATATTTATTTATTATCTCAGCTGCGCCTCTGAAGACCAGTTTTGTTCACCGTGGGACATGGACGTTGCTGGTTAGCTGGCATTTACTGCGTGTCCCTGGATGCCCTTGAAAATGTGGTGATGAGCTGCCTGCTTAAACCGTTGCTGTCCACTTGACCCACAGTGATCTAAGGGAGGGAATTCCATGCCATTTGGATTATCGTGTCTCCACTAACTCTCCAAGTCCTGACTTAGTGGCATTCTTCCATCCTTTTCTCATAGCTCTGTATGTTATTTTGAAATAATTATCTAAAGCTCCTTTGCACTTTTCAGTTGAACCTGTTTCCACCACAATTCCAGCTAGTGCATTCCAGACCTGAACTACTCGCTGTGTGCAAGTTTCTCACAACACATTTACTACTTTGCCAGATTGTTTCAAATCTGTGCACTCTTGTTTTTATCTATTTGCAAGCAAGAACAGTTTCTCCCTGACTACCCTGTCCTGTTTTTTCATGATTTGGAAAACTTCATTCAAACCTCCTCTAAGTCTTTCCTTCTTCAAGGAGAGCAGACGCAGCGTCTCCAGTAAATCCAGGGACTTCATTGTTATAAATCTTTCTTGCACCCTCTCAAAAACATGAACAATCATCCAAAAGTGGGATGGGTTTGGTTGGGATCCTCTGAGAGTCAATGTGGACTTGTTGGGCCGAAGGGCCTATTTCAACACTGTAGGGATTCTATGATGAAAAGTGTGGTGCCTAGGACTGTACACAATACTTCTGAGATCTAATTAATGTCTTATGCAGACTCAGCATAAGCTCCCTGTTGCTATACTGTAGGCCAATATTGATAAAGCATAGGAAACTGTATTTTTTAAACTATGCTATCCATCTGTCCTGCCACCTTTTTGTATGAGTTAAGCACATATACACCTAGGTATCTCTGCTCTTGTGCATTCTTTAGAGTAGTACCCTTATTTTATACTGTCTCCATGTTCTTTCTACCAAAATGGATCATCTCACTGAAGACTTAACTAATTATACTAGTTAATGAACGCTCCCATGGCACAGAATTTTATGTGGTAGAAAACTGTTATGGAGTTTATGAACCTTTCCATAAAAGCAACTTTGCAGACTTGTGCATTTTTTTGAGAGGGAAGTGGATGTCAAATGAGAACGTAGAAATTGGGAAACATATTCCTGAGAATCTCCAAAGCTGCCTACTAGGAAATTCACAAATACACCTATTTTCCTGATATGCAGACACCTCTTTTCCCCAGAGGGGTCGCAGAACTTGGACTAATTTTGTTTTAGGATCCCAAATAATGCATCAGTGTACAGTTGGAATTTAATGAAGTGGAGGTGCTGGTGTTGGACTTGCGTGGACAAGGTCAGAAGCTTTCAGAGCGTAGCTGCTTCATCTATTGTACGTTCTTGCTGTTGGGCCATTGTGCCCTTTGAAGCATTAACCTGTAGAGCTAAATGGGGAAGGGATCCCAGCATTCATTGGACGTACATTACCCTGTGTTGTATTGCTGCCTTTTGCATCAGGCAGGCGATTCTAACTGTGGTGTGTTGAAGGTTGGGGCTGAACTGAACTGAGTGATTAGTAGGCAAGGATTTGATTTATTGATATACTTTGCACTTCTGCCCAGGGTTTTGGTTGTTTGGAACTCATGGCCAGTTTCACAGCCAGAACTTAACTCCTGGTCATATCCAAATCTCTGTTTGGATGAAATATTTTCTGTTGCCTACTCTCACTTCACGGCCTCCCTTCTAGAAGTTTATGGAATGTGCCTTGCTCTGCTAATCTTCTGGTGTGGAATCTAACTCCCATTTAGAAGTACTTCGTTAATTCAGTAATGCATGTCCAAGGATGTAGTTATATCATTCCTTTTTGTTCCTGTTGAGGTAACAGCAAAATACCAGTGATGAAATAAACTGAGCCAGTACCCTGTACACAGTTTGGTTCAGTTGAGTCCTTCTCCAAAATAAAGTGGTTGTGAATTTCAAATATTTCGCACTTGGCTCCTGCTGCATTTAAGTAGTCACTCTACCAGAAGCTGTGTCAAAAGCATCTATGTCTGTAACTGAGTATGGGTTGAGAGTGTTTAACAGAATGTTTAGTTTCTTGATGCATTTTTTTTTTGTATGGGGTGCTTAACAACCACACTTTTAAGGTGTTTAACATTTTCTAATCAATTGTATACAGTTGGCAACCTGCAGCTTTACTGTTGCTGACTGTAAGTTGCCCTGTTATTATTGATCTTAAAATTGTTGTACGATATTAATTGTAGGCCTAGATAACATGCTGCCTCTTTAAGTTTCCTGGATTTCTGCTGTCCTGAGTAGTCTTTCACTTCAAACAAGCAACTGTTATTGTCTCGAGAGCCATGCTTCACTTCTTTCCCACCTAGAGTATTGATTTCACGACCGCTAAAGATTCTGTGCAGCGTTTGACATTCTTGGAGTCCTAAACTAAACATAAGAAACAATTCTGCTCAACATACCTTGCCTTGTTGCATTGATACTCTAATCCATGTCCCTGTCTTATTTCCATACCTTTTGATATATTCCCTCTTTTTGAAATGCTAATCAAATTCCCTCTAAAGGGTTCTGTTTGATTTAATAGCTGCTTGAACTTGTCACATGACCTTCAGCATTAAATAAGTTCAGTCTAATGACTCTTTTAAATTTCTAGTTCTAAGCGTAGCTCTATATCCCTGTAATATTTATCTAGCAACTGGTGAAAGTAATCTTCCGCAACTAATCCACCAGCTTGACAGTTTGAACACTAACTTTGGATTCAGACATACCATCCTAAGTTTTTTCAAATCTACAGCACTTTTCAATAGTGACACTTAAGCTACTTAGGACAATAAGGAAGCAGGTGAATGGATACAGCTCCAAGTCTATATAATAATTATAATATATATCTCTATTATACCTTTTAGAGGTTCTTTTAACAAAGTTAAATATCTCAATGCGCTTCACTGGTTATCTGATCAAGGCACAAAGGAAATGTTGAGACCAATGACTAAGGGTTTGGTCAGAAGATGGTTTTGGAGAGTGTCTTAAAAGGGAAAGAGACTGGCGAGGTTTTCGGAAAGAATTCCAGAGGTTTAGCTGAAGGCGTAGCTGCCAGTAGTGGCCAAGTTTGAGTAAGGTATTACCATTTCTTTGGGTCAGAATACTTCTGCTCCCATGCCCACATAAGTCATCAAGAACAAATGACATTTGTGGGTAACTACAGGGTATTATAAAATTAATTCCTTTTGTACAATGCAATTAATTTCTGTTTTCATCCCTTTTTAGAAGTTGCCTCTGATGTGTCTATGCGCAGTCCCTCAAGACCAAGCAGTTCTGTGTCCAATGAAACAACAAATGTGAGGCTGTCCAGCAGTCCACCCCGATCCACTTCAGTGTGGGGCGGTCTTGTTTCCTCACATAAAAAAGGTATACTCTCTTTTGAAGGTTCTCACTGAAAAATGTTATTCCCAGTGTGTGGAATCAAGCCTATTGAGCTGTACAAACCTATAGAACCCTATCCTCTCCTAGAACTCACTAGAATGTCAAGGGAAAGTGGTTACATTCTTTGTTGTTAGACATGGTCATTGCATGGCATTTGTGTTACACATTATTGTCATCCACCATCAAAGTTCCCTCTAAGCTGTGCTGTTCTGAATACTGTGCAATTTCTGATGAACCTTTCCACTTAGGGGTGGCATGTGATCACCAAAGCAGCTGAAAATAATTGAGCCTAAGACATTTAGTTACTCATTTGTTCACAGGATGTGGACATCTCTGGCTAGACCACTTATTACCCACCCCTAATTCCCATGAGGATCTCCTACAGTGATGGTCTTGGGATGGGACTGGTTGGGCTCCGACAACTATGAATGTTTTCCTTTTGTGCTGGGAATGACTTCAATCATTGGAGAGTTTTTCTCTGATTCTTGTTGGTACCACTTTTGTTGAACTCCTTGATGCCAACTTGGTTATCTGCTCCCTTAATGTCAAGGGCAGTCATCTAAACTCTGGAAGGTGCATGTTTTTGCCATGTTTGGACCAAAGCTGAAAAAAGGTTAGGAACTAAGTGACTAAATGGCTATTGCAAACTGCAAAGTTTGCATGGATGTGTCAATCATTGGTGAGGGGATGCTGCAGACTGGTGTAATAAATGGCCAGATTGGATGCTAACACTTTGTTTATGAATGAAGAGTGGCCATTTTGAGAAGGTACGAGAGAAATGTCAGCATTTTTGAACTGTTCATTTTGACATTTTTATCTTTAGGAGAGGAAGAGAGGTGATCTGTTGTTTCGATGCTAACCTCTGAATGTGTTTGGATTTAATGCCTACATTTCAGAAGATATAATAGGAAAGGGATAACAACTGGAACAGTTAGGTGATAGTCAAACAGTTTTTGTGCTGTATGATGAAAAGAGAAGAGAATGGAATTCAGCAAGGGGAATGTTGCTGCCAGGAATGTTTAGATAGTGACCAACAAACAAGTTCTGCTTACTTGTAGGGGAGAGCGTAACTACTGCTGTTTGCTTTGTGAAATCTTGTGCTCATTACGTATGGATCATTTTCCGCATGGGCTCATGTACTCACCAATCAAGTGCTCCATGCTTTGGTTGCAGAATAGAGACGCACGTACCTGCCCAGCTTGAGCTACTGTTTAATAGGTGCCCCCAGCCCCAACTTGCAGCATCCTGGATAAAATTACTAAATTAGGGCAGTTTTTTTCCACTGGGAGCTCGTGCCCACTCTGGAATTGGAGTATGACTGGTCAATCTGTCTTCACAAAGGTAACTTTCTTCCTACCTGTTCTGCTTGATTTAATGCCAGGTGGTTCAAGTGAACTGGGAAACCTGTTCCCGCCACTCTTCTGTTATCCAACCGAGGCAATTGGAGCAAAGATTGTGATTCTTTTATTAAAATGCACAGTTCATAAAATTGTTTTCATATGTAATTCCTTTTTGTTTTCTACTCCTAGTTACCTCTTTCGCACCTCTTAAAAAGAGAAAACAGATGAAATACAGGAGCGTTATCTCCGATGTCTTTGATGGCACAATTGTGAGCTCGGTGCAATGTTTGACCTGTGATCGGGTGAGTGTGCAACTGTTGGCAATTCCAGTATGGCCTGTACCTATATTTAACAATATTTGAAGCTGGGAGAGATCTCAAACCGCAAATGGATCTTGGGATACCCCACCCACTTTCTTATATTGCTTTTGTACTGACTGTTGTAAGTATAGACTTGCCAGCTTTTAACCTTACCCCCTTTTAGTCTGCCTTTAAAAAAGGAGCATTGTTATGAACCTGTATGTCAGTGATTATTAAATGTGCACGTCGTATGTGTGCTCATTGTTTGCTACAGTTGAAGATTTATCTTTCTATGTTTAAGATTCTATTTTACAATGTCCATTGAGCTAATCTACAGTATTTAGCCCCTTCCAATCTAATCTAATCTTCATGCACTGTCAATTTTTTCTTCAAATTTTATCCTTTTTTTTAAGTTCTGTAATGAATTATGTTTTCACAGTTAGGCCTGGCAGGTCATCTCATGTGTTAGTAATGCAAAATAACTTCTTCATTCGCTGAAAATTTACATATATGTCCCTTATTGATCAGTGGATACATTTTCTTCTTCAACTTAGTGCATATTATGTCTTTTGACTTTTAAGAAGTACTTTCATCTTAGTTGGCCATCTCTGTTTTAATGCAAAGACCTGAGTTTCTCTAATGTCTCCTAACCATAGACTTTTCCCCAGGGTGCAGGAGTCCAAACCTAGAGGACATAGGTTTAAGGTGAAAGGAGATAGATTTAAAAAGGACCTAAGGGGCAACATTTTCACGCAGAGGGCAGTGCGTAGATGAAATGAGCTGCAGAGAAAGTGGTGGAGCCTGGTACAATTACAACATTTAAAAGGCACCTGGATCATGAATAGAAGTGTTTAGAGGGATATGGGCCAAATGCTGGCAAGTGGCACTAGATTTAGGATATGTGGTCGGCATGGATGGGCTCGACCGAAGGGTCTGTTCCCATGCTATACGTCTCTATGACTCACCTCTTCGTACCTCTCATAGCCTTAATTACTTTCCTTTCAGTTGTAGTAAGCTGTACTCCGATCCCATCTTGAGTAGCACATTCTGCATTTGCACGCTGCCCCTCAGGAAGGATGTATTGACCTTGGAGGTGCTTCGGTGCAACTGAATGTTACTAGCACTCCTGAAAGGCCAATTTGAAGAGACATTGTATAAACCTGACTTGTATTCCCTTGAGTTTAAATGGTTGGAAGGTAGTCCAGGTGTAGAGCTTGGCCTGCTGTGTTCATCCAGCAGCATCAGAGGAGCAGGAAGGCTAGACCCTTCTTCAGAAATGGGGGAGGGGAAGGGGGTTCTGAAATAAATAGGGAGAGAGGGAGAGGCGGATAGAAGATGGATAGAGGAGAAGATAGGTGGAGAGGAGACAGACCGGTTAAAGAGGCGGGCATGGAGCCAGTAAAGGTGAGTGCAGGTGGGGAGGTAAGGAGGAGAGAGGTCAGTCCAGGAAGGATGGACAGGTCAAGGGGGCGGGATGAGGTTAGTAGGTAGGAGATGGGGGTGGGGCTTGAGGTGGGAGGAGGGGATAGGTGGGAGGAAGGACAGGTTAGGGAGGCGGGGACGAGCTGGGCTGGTTTTGGTAGGGGAAAGGGAGATTTTGAAGCTTGTGAAGTCCAAATTGATACCATTGGGCTGCAGGGTTCCCAAGCGGAATATGAGTTGCTGTTCCTGCAACCTTCGGGTAGCATCGTTGTGGCACTGCAGGAGGCCCAGGATGGACATGTCGTCTGCTGACTGGAAGGGGGAGTTGAAATGGTTCGCGACTGGGAGGTGCAGTTGTTTAGTGCGAACCAAGCGTAGGTATTCTGCAAAGCGGTCCCCAAGCCTCCGCTCATATTCCGTTTGGGAACCCTGCAGCCCAATGGTATCAATGTGGACCTCACAAGCTTCAAAATCTCCCCTCCCGCTACCGCATCCCAAAACCAGCCCAGCTCGTCCCCGCCTCCCTAACCTGTCCTTCCTCCCACCTATCCCCTCCTCCCACCTCAAGCCCCACCCCCATCTCCTACCTACTAACCTCATCCCGCCCCCTTGACCTGTCTGTCCTCTCTGGACTGACCTCTCTCCTCCCTATCTCCCCACCTACACTCACCTTTACTGGCTCCATCCCCGCCTCTTTGACCGGTCTGTCTCCTCTCCACCTATCTTCTCCTCTATCCATCTTCTATCTGTCTCCCCCTCTCTCCCTATTTATTTCAGAGCCCCCTTCCCCTCCCCCATTTCTGAAGAAGGGTCTAGGCCCAAACGTCAGCCTTCCTGCTGCTCTGATGCTGCTTGGCCTGCTGTGTTCCTCCAGCTCTACACCTTGTTATCTCAGATTCTCCAGCATCTGCAGTTCCTACTATCTCTGGAAGGTAGTCCAATTGTGCCGTTTAAAAAGACGAAAGAATTTGATGGGATAGATACAGAAAGTGTATTTCCTCCAGTAATGGAACCCAGAATATCATCTGCAAACTCTATTTCATCTGTTTAAGAGTGAACCAGGAAGATATTTTTGTAAAGGGTAATGCAGTTTTGAAATATTCTTCCTCTTCTAACCAGACCTTTATACCCTCACGTGAGATGGAATGACTGATCCATATCCCTGGGAAACTTTGCCGAACAGAAATCGATGGCGTGTAATTGAAGTTGATACTTTAATCAGCCATGATTGAATTGAATGGTGAACCAGGCTTGAGGTGCTGAATGGCCTATGTTCCTAGAGTGCCAAAACATAATGCAGGATCTTGCAGTATGACTGTTCTAACTGATCTAACCAGTGATTTTCATTGGTTTGGCATTGCTTCTTTAGTTTTGTACTTTGTGCTCCTATTGATATAACATAGGGTTGCAAATATAGTTTATTTTTATACAGCTTTGTAAACTTTGTACCCTTCATCTGGTTTCCAATTGTCAGAATTACTGCTCACCTATCCCAAAACACACACAGTAGGGGCCTGCTGTGTTCATCCAGCTCTTGTTATTCCAAAACAGAACTGTCCAATCAAAATTGGTCATTCCCTCTGTGTAATTCTGCACTTAACTGGGGAGACATTCTGTCCTCTACCTGCTTTCTGATTGGCCTACCCCATTAAAGAATAAGTAATGTCTGAGTGCTAAGACGTGAACTCTAAGTCTAAGCTGCATGCAATCCTATTGACTTTGAATAGAAAACCTACTATCTCCTGAGTATAAGATGGCATTTCGTGTAAAGAATTGAATTTACTTTTTCAAATTAGTTCTTGCCCTTGGACAGATTCTAGATAGAGTTAAAATCTAACTACTTGGCTGACCGATGGATTGAGACTTTTTCTGTCAACTGGGTCATTCTTGTATCAGTAAATAATCCAGATTCTGCTGGGCTAAACCTTTCTTTTTCATAAATCAACTTGTTCAGGGTTGTTATGACATACCTCGGTAAAGGTGGGACTTGAACCCAGGCTTCCTGGTCCAGAGGTAGAGAAACTACAGTGATACAGTGGCCCCTTAGGCTAAACCATTCTGTACATTTGAACAATGGTCGTCACCCATGACCTAGGCCGGCGTTTGGAGTGGAAGTAGAGTTGGCATAATGGTATGACGGTGACCATGAAATTGGATTTGGAGATCTGGTTGGTGACCCACGGAGAGCTGTAGACTGCATTTCATGCAAAATGGGATCAAGAGACTTGATTCACATTGTTTACAGTTACCATCTACTGTGGTCGACTGCTGAATTTATGCACTTTAAAAGGCCAATTTGAAGAGACGTTGTATAAACCTGACTTGTATTCCCTTGACTTTAAACGGTTGGAAGGTAGTCCAGTTGTGCTGTTTATAAAGACTAAAGGATTTGACAAAGTGTATTTCCTCCAGTGATAGAATCCGTCTTCAAACTCCAGTTCACCTGTTAAACAGTGAACCAGGAAGACATTTTTGTAAAGGGTAATGCAGTTTTGGAATTTTCTTCCCATTCTAACCACAGCCTTGTACACTCACTCGAGATGGATTGGTTTATCCATATCCTTGGGAAACTTTGCCCAACAGAAATCTAAGGTGTGTAATTGGAGTTGATACATTGATGAGCCATGATGTAGTTGAATGGTGAACCGGCACAGAGGCAGTAAAAATGCTGGTTTCTAAATGGGCACAAGTCATTCACCCTTGGCTTTGTTAATCATTGCTGACACCACTGTGTTTGATTGGTAAGCAGAGTCAGTCTTTCGCTTCCCATGAAAATCAGTGAATTATATTTGTCGTTTAGGTCATGCATAGTGTATGATCCACCTTTCTGTATTGTACAAAAACCCAGGTAAACGCATGCAGATGTTAGGGATGCAAAATAGTGTATACAAGATGTGGGGGTGTAATTAGAATCATAATTAAATTATAAGGCTCATTAGAACTGTGAATGTTATCAATCAGCATCTCATCTTTACACTAGTACATAGCACATTTCTCTGATAGCCCCTTACTTTTCTTCACCATTGTGTGCCTCCACCACCCATTGCCGGTACGGGCATATAGTCTATAATTGGAATTTGATCTTGTTACATGAATCTGCACCCCAAGGTGTCTCAATTCCTTGAAAGTGGAGTTGAAGGTAGATAGGATAGTGAAGAAGGTGTTTGGTATGCTTGCCTTTATTGATCAATGCATTGAGTATAGGAGTTGGGAGGTCATGTTGCAGCTGTAAGGACATTGGTTAGGCCACTTTTGGAGTATTGCGTGTAATTCTGGTCTCCCTCCTATAGGAAGGATTTTGTGAAACTAGAAAGGGATCAGAAAAAGTTTACAAGGATGTTGCCAGGGTTGGAGGATTGAGCTGTAGGGAGAGGCTGAATCGGCTGGGGCTATTTTCCCTGGAGCATCGGAGGCTGAGGGGTGACCGTATATGGGTTTATAAAATCATGAAGGGCACAGATAGGGTAAATAGGCAAGGTCTTTTCCCCAGGGTGAGAGAGTCCAAAACTACAGTGCATAGGTTTAAGGTGAGAGGGAAAAGATGATAAAGGGACCTTTGGGGTAACTTTTTCACGCAGAGGGTGGTGCGTATGTGGAATGAGGTGCCAGAGGAAGTGGTGGAGGCTGGCATGATTACCATATTTAAAAGGCATCTGGATGAGTATGTGAATAGGAAGGGTTTAGACAGATATGGGCAAAATGCTGGCAAATGGGACTAGATTTATGTGGAATATCTGGTCGGTATGGACAAGTTGGATCGAAGGGTCTGTTTCTGTGCTTAAATCTCTATGAATCTATTTCTCTTAGTGACTGGAAATACTAAAAGGTTTCGCTTGTTTAAAAATTCTAGTCTTTTTTATGTCTCTGCTTTTTCCTGCAGGTATCCACCACCTTGGAGACCTTTCAGGATCTCTCTCTGCCTATCCCAGGAAAAGAAGACCTGGCCAAGTTGCATTCCTCAAGTCACCAGATGTCCTTAGTGAAAGCAGGGTCATGCGGTGAAGCGTATACTCCACAAGGTTGGATAGCATATGTCATGGAATACATTAAGAGGTGCGTGTTGAATTTTGGAAGAGGAAGGGAATAAAAATTTAATTAACATTATTTAAAACTGCTCTCTGTCTGTGGGACTGACACAGTTGCAGCCATTTTGATGTTAACACATTTGTATTTATTATCTTCTATGTTCCTAGTTGGTTCTGGGGTCCTGTGGTATCCTTGCAGGATTGTTTGGCTGCCTTCTTTGCCAGAGACGAGCTCAAAGGTGAGTAGCGATTTTGTGTACACTTAAAATACTTTTATAGCTGTCAAAGTCAGAAGTCACTTTACACCAGGTTATAGTCCAACAGGTTTATTTAAAATTGCAAGCTTTTGGAACACTGCTGCTTCGTCACCACTTTGTAGTTGGTGGAAGAATGATGAAGCGAACATAATGAGACCTGTACACTGCCATAAAAGAAAATTTCAATAACATTGCTCACTCTGAATCAATTATGTTGACAGATGTGTTATATCTCAAAGATTATATGCAAGCATATGTTATAATTTGGTAGCATAATGTGTTTACATTGGCCTAAGTCTGACTATTAAGGCACAGTCCAGGGTAGAATTGTACACTCCAAGCGTAAATGTTGATGGATCAGTTTCTGAAGAGGAAATCTGTGGATGCAGTTGGCTGTCACCTTGCTGGGCTGAGGCAGGGGGTTTTAAAGTCTGTCTGGTTTTTGCCTGCTACTTGTCCAGAGACACTTTCTGGAAAACTTAAGTGGCCATGTGTTTTTCTCATTCATCCATTGGATGTGATCTTTGCTAGTACTGTATATCTCCAATCCTTGCAGAGACGTTAGTGAGCTGTCATTCTGAATGTGACCAAGTGGCTTGCTGAGCCATTTCAGAGGGCATTTGTGAGTTGATCACTTTGCTGTTGGTGCAGATTCACATGTAAGCCAGAACAAGTAAAGGTGGTAAATTTCCTTCCTTAAAAGACTTCAGTGAATGAAATAGGTTTTTAAAACAATCCGGTAGTTTCATAGTCGCCTGAATTATATAATCATATGGAATTTCTGAATTTTACAGTATAGAAAGAGGCCAATCAGCCCATTGTGTCAGTGTCAGCGGCTGTATTGTACATCATATCAAGCTGAATTCAAGCTCTCAATTACATCCTCAATAATCAATTAACTTTAGCCAAGACCGGATTTGATGTTGTTTCAGGCACCATTCAAATAGATTTCAACAAAGGTGTCCTCGGGAGTAATAAATATAGATTAATAAAGATTTACCTACTGTAGTTAAATAATAGCCTGCCATACCCTGATGACTTTACTGCAAAGTTTAGTGTCAATCACTGTTTTTAATTCCCATAATTGGATGGTAAAATTTGACAGTTTGCTAAACCAGGATGTGGTTGTTCACAAGAGGCAAACAGAGGGAAGTTTGAATCTGCTTTGTTTCATACTCTTCAAAAAAATGTTTTATAATATTGCAGGTGATAACATGTACAGCTGTGAAAAATGTAAAAAGTAAGTACAATGCATGTTTCTGTTGTCAATAATCCACCTTGAATTATTGATCTCTATTGAACAGTTTCTTCGTGCATGTATTCAGCAATGTTCGTCATTCTGAACTTTGCTCATGAATAGTTGTCAGACCATTTTTCATTGATTATCTGAAGCTTTTTGAATTAATTCTGGGGATATTGACATTACCCGAAAAGTCAACGTTTATTGACCGTCCGTAGTTGCCCTTGAAGAATTGGCCATGGGCTTTCTTTTTGTACCAGTTCATAAAGGTTCACCCATGGTGCTTTTAGGTAGGGAGTTGCACAATTTTAACTTGGGTTACCATGCATTTCCCACACCATTGTGGATATGTTGACCAGAAGTATGTTGTGTAGTATTAGGATAGTATTAAAAAGAAATGTCTAAACAAATTTGAAAATAAAAATAGGATGATCTGAAAACCACAGTTTTTGTTTGGACCTGTAAACAAAATTACCAGGCTGATAATATACTTGCTATATAAATCTTCATTTAAAATCAAAATATAAGCAATGATCAGGAAGAGGAAACGAATCAGACCAAAGAATAGCAGATTTTGAGGCTGACATCCCCAAAGGAGAAGCAGAAGTAAAATATAAAGGAAAAGTGGCAAAAGTCAATAGTCTGAAATACAGTAGGATACACTGGGAATATACCAGGTCATCTCTTGAAAAATGTATTCATTCTACACAACAACAGTTTCTATTTACAGGGTGCCATCATCTCAAGACACTGTACAGGAGCAAAATTCAACACTGAACTACATAGGTTGCTAATGGGGTAGTTTGCTGAAAACCTAGTCAAAGAGGGGCATTCTAAAAATCATCTTGGAGGAGGGAAGAGAAGTGGAGAGGTAGAGAGTTTTAGGGAGGGAATTTCATAGCTTAAGATCTTGACTGCTGAAAGCACTGGATGTGACTTTCTGGCAAGATTGATGTTAATTGCCATATCCGGTTGCTTTGAGAAGGTGGTTGTGTGCTGCCCTCTCTCTGTTAGCAGGTTTGACCCAACTGAGAAGAGGGCAGTTAACAATCAGCTGCCTTGGTGTGAGATTTGGAGGAAATATTGCTGTTTAGCTTTGCCACGTTGCAGAAACTCAGGACTGGGCCGACTCTGAATGTCAAAAGAAACAACTAAGTGTGGAAACTCCATTTTTGTGCATCCAGTAAACATAATTTCATAATTTTAGGGTGTTCATAAACTTCTTGTCTTATTTTTAACTCTGATAACTTTGGACATGTACATGATAAAAGCAAAGGGTGGCTGACACATGAAAACAATTCAAATTTCTAGTTTTCACTATATTAGCCATCATTTGTGGCATGTTATTCAATCAGTTTTTCAACAGTTCATCATACCTTTTACTGCTGTCATGTTGCAATGTATTAAACATCATTAATGTAACATTTCAATATCGACCTTTTAAAACTGTTACTCCTTCCCACTTGCATAGAAGCATATGAAGTAGAAGCAGGAGTAGGCTCTTTGGCCCTTCAAGCCTGGTCTACCATCAATATAGAATCATAGTCATTCAGCACAGAAGCAAACCCTTCGATCCAACTCATTCGCATCAACCAGGCATCCAATCTAGTCTCATTTGCCAATATTTGGCCCATATCCCAGCAAACCTTTGCTATTCGTGTACTTATCTAAATGTCTTTTCAATGTAACTGCACCTGCATCCACTCTTTCCTCTGGCAGTTCATTTCACACAGGAATTATTCTCTGTTTAGAAATAAAAGTTGTCCCTTGTTTCCTTTTTAAAATGTTCTCATTTCACCTTAAAAATATGCCCCCTAGTTTTGAACTCCCCCACCCTAGGGAAAAGACCCTTGCTATTCACCTTATCTATGTCCCTCATGTTTTTATAAATCTCTATAAGGTGACCCCTCAACCTCCACTCCAGGGGAAAATCTTCCAGCCTACCATCCTTTTTTTTAAAAACCAAACCCTCCATTCAAGGCAACATCCATGGAAAATTTCCTCCTCGTGTCCAGGGGCATGCAGGCTAGAGGGGCTAGCCATGTAGATATGGGGCTACAGGGATAGGGTGGGAGATGTTGTTCAGTGGATTGGTGCAGACCCGATGGGCCAAATGGCCTTCGTCTGCACAGTCAGCATCCTATACTTCTAAGTTATTCAGCAATTTATATACTGACTTCAAGTCATTTCCTCATTGTATCAGATAATGGATAGTGGTCCTCAAAATGGTTTAATGATATTTAATTGTTTCAGAGATAGTAGGAACTGCAGATGCTGGAGAATCTGAGATAACAAGGTGTAGAGCTGGAGGAACACAGCAGGCCAAGCAGCATCAGAGGAGCAGGAAAGCTGACGTTTCGGGTCTAGACCCGAAACGTCAGCTT